AGTTGCACCAAAACCCCCCCACGATGACGACGCCACAGTTTCACCCCACATCACCGGCCCTCTGGCGACGTGACTCGAATCCTCATCTTTCGGCGGATGGCATGCAGCACTAATCGCAGCACTACAAGCCCCCGCCAGTGGCATTTCCGACTTAAACCTTCTGAAGGATACCCCAATCAACAAACAGACCATAAAAGCGCCCACAAGAATAGAAATAAATATAGCCAGGCGGTTATGGCCCATGGAGCTAATCGAATGGTGTTGGATCTGTCGGCCCACCCAGTCATACGCGTTGACACGAACATAAAAGATACACTGGGAAATTAACCAGTGAAGCACCATATAGATCACGATCAGAGGGACTCCGTATCGATATGGCATGGATAGCCAGTACGTTGACTGCTGCGTGCTGCCTTTGATGGGCCATGTCACTCGAAGGGGCTTTGAACTTGTCCCGTAAGAGCTGTATTCGGCAGTCGCGAGCATGCTAGTCAGCACGCTGTTGTAGAAGAAATAGCTGACCGTGATGAGCAGTTGTGGTATATTAGCTATCACCACATTGCTCAAAGCAGGCAATCTCTTTCCCAAGTTAACGAGTGTTGTTGATGCCCCAGCGCCAGAGAACCCTTCTGTCCACAGCTGACGGAGCACAGAGAGCGTCAATAAACGACTTCCTGTTGAGTCGATGGCTTGTTCGAACAAAAATACTCCGACAGCAATCAGTGCGAAACATCTAGATTATCTATTAGAATCGTCAAAGTGCATATAGATGTTTGGGCGCTTACAAGGTAAGGGTCGTTATCCAGCGCTTGGGACTTGGGGCTTGCATCCAGAGCTTGCGTCGCGACAATCGCTTGTATACCATCGGCTTTCGCTGGCTGACTCCCCCCAAAGGCTCCTCGGCTGGATCCTCTGTCCTTTGAGAGACTTTCCACACCCCTTTACGGGCATCAGCGTTGGTTAACCAACACATCCCCTCTGTCGTAGAATCTGGCTTCTCCATGAAGGACGCCACTGCATCGCCCACGGTGAGCAAAGGCGGCGATCGATGGCGACCTATTCTTGCTGACAGGAACATTGCCACGACTTTAACAAAAGTCGCAAGAGCAATGATAATGCAAATCGGTGGACTATAGAGCAGCTGGCATCGATTTTCAGTTCTGAGCACAAGACATCCATTGACGTGATAAGTGTGTGATTCAGGCGCCGCTATATCATCCTCATGGCAAATCTCATCATAGCCAATGGCCGTAACGACAGATGAATTATACGACTTGACGTATTGATTCGCGCTCTCAAGCGTCGGCGGCTCTTCTTGCCGGGTGGCCCAGTTAAGCAGAAGGAGGGCATCTGAGCAGGTATTTTGATCCAAAGTGTCCATACAGGCTTGATACGTGAAGTTTTCGTTTTTGTAGTAATGGTCACGGCCAGACTCAAGGAGATTGACCACCAAACTCTTGCGAGCGAAATTGAACCCCGTCATTTCGTGATCGGGGAAACCCGATAGCCCCGTCCAGAAGATCGCATCAGTTCCACCTTGGCTCACAGATAACTCGTTCGTGAGCATGACGACCACCTTTGCCCCTCTGTTCTCGGTGAAACTGTCAAGCTTGTTACATTCCTGAGCATCTAGGCGCTCGTAGTTGCCCGCCGCAATGTCAGAGGAAAAGTCATGCCAATTCAACTTACCCTCGGGAAACCCATCACTCGAGTGATAATATGACTCGGGAGCATTATAAGGAGACCATTCTTCTGGAGTATCTCCACCCTTATATCTCGGGGCTATTGTAAAACACCGGTCAAGGGTAGGAGTCTTCAAGCTTGCGACATTGGAAGAATTCAAATCCCCAGGCCCAACAAGACCGCGTAACTCGTTTACGGCCACGGATTCGAAAACCATCGAGTTGTACCTGCCAACTTGTGTCAATTCCCTGTCTTCAGTCTCGTAGACCTCTTCTGATAACTTACAACAAATGAAAGGGGGTACCTGTGACAAGAAGTACCAACCACAGACTGAGCCGAGGTCGTCCAATGACAAAGAGATTCCTCACGCTGGAGGACCCGATGTCAAGCCACCGGCCTTGCGCATGATATTTGTCAACCTCTTCCCGACTCGGCGCGACCAGTGACTGCATGCAGTAATTACTAGCACCCAAGATTCCAGTACTGAGTACGTTGATTATTAAATGCAGGGCGATGTTCCATCGTTTGGACAAGGCGCAGCTGCCCTGGTACATTACTTGGATGCTGGAGAATCCGCCGTTCTCTGGGTTTCGGCTGGATAGTCCAGCAGCGACAGCAATGAAGATGAGATTCAGCAAAAGCATAACGGAAGATGCCTTGGCACAAAGAAGGACGCCATTAATCCAGTGTGGTTTTGGGGGGTTGGATGACTCGTGTTCAATGACCTGTGCCTCAGTATTTTCCTCCATGTTTTCCTGTCCTTCTATCCGGTGTGAAAACTTGAGACTTGATTTCTCGGTTTGAGTGCTGGGAACTCCATGATAGCGTTGGCCAGCGAACAGAGATTTGGCACGGGGCCATATATCCTCACTACCCATACTTGGGATGGAGTTGTGCTCCGCTGTGTACGGTAGATATCCACAGGCTTGGAATAAAGACAAGTGTGCAGAGATGTAAAAGGAACATGAGTTAGAGTATGGGGTAACTTGACCACTTCTCCCTTAATTAAATGAGGCTGAGTTTAACAATGTCCCCGTGGATGTGGAAATGATCTTCGTGGCCTGTTTTAGCCCCCAAAACCCCCCATTGGTGTTAATGTCCACACGGCACACCTAGTACGCTTGGCATATGTACATCGCCATTGACCCCAACCATGTGTTTTTATGCTGTCACCTAAAGATTATCATATCGGGCAACAGGCGTTTGGACGCGAAGTGGGAGGGGGCTGCAGTACTCATGAAAATACTATGTAGGACCTTAAGTTTCGTCTCTTTCGTCTCTTTCTTTACTTCTTTATTCTATCAGTTGGACTCGCTTTTCGGCATGGTAGCAAATGTCTTTGTATCCACCAGTTGATATACCAAGTTACCTCATACATGTGTTTTACTAACTTCCTCTCTTTCATTGAATGTTCCAAGCCCCGGCCTTTGCCAACCTCTTCTTTGGCACTGCAAGCACCAGAAATGTACCAGGAGCTGAAAAGGCTCTGATAGCGTGTACACAAGTTGGCGATGTGGATTCAACCCGGCCCTCATTTTCAATTAATGCAGATATCGAATTCATCGAGCGCGATCCCCAAAGTGCCCAACTAGTACGATCACCGGATCTTTACACTTCAGGACGCCATTGGAATGATTCAAGCTTGGACTACTACTATGAGATGTGGAGGCTCTCGCTGAAATGAAGATGGAGATTCTAACTCTGGGATTCAATCTATTAGAGATGTACTAGATTTTGCTGCTGAAGGTGGCTATTCTGTCATAATAAAAGTGCTACTTGATGTTTCCAACACCATACTCTCGGCGAGAGATTACGACAATGCTTCGCATGTTACATTGAGGGTGTAAACGGCGGACCTGTGAATTACTCTATCCGGTTAGTTTTGCCTTTTTGGGTTTAGCGCCCTAATACGCTGTCACGTAACCTACCTTTCTCTCACTTCTGCCTCTCTATCTTGCACTCATCGCCGCCCCCTTTCTTTTACTCTGGCCCCCACCGATCACTGCATAATTGCTTTCAGCCCGACGCGCTGCTCCTTTCATTTTTACCGGAGATGCCGCTTGATCCGACATCCAGCTTGCAATGCCTGTCACCCAGAAGCGTAATCACTGGGATGATACAGCATCCTGTTCTTTCGTGTCGATGATCCTATTCCTTCCCTAGGGAAGTGACTGAGCACCATGCTACGAAGATATCTAAGTCTCCCTCTGCCAGTGCGCCTTTTCGTCTCTGATTCCCCGGGCCTCCCTTCAAATCTATAATGTGCCAGTACACCCTCGACGCTGCATATCCCTCCCCCGCCGCACCACCTGAGGTTGCATTACACAGCCCCGGCTTCATAAAATGGCTCCCGGTTACCTGGCTAAACGCCCAGTTATCGTCATCTTCGGTCTCTCCGATCTCTCTCCACCTAATCAGTGAAAACTCGAAATCACAGCTCGGTCATTTAGGCTAATAGCGAAAATGCCGCACACGCCCTGGACCTTAGTCGATGCTGCATCTTATGGTCAATGCGAGACTACAACTACGGGAATTTTTGCCAGTGAGCCATAACTTATTGTGGACTATGAAACTGGTATGGTCTAGCATCCTCGACTGCAATGGGTTGAATTACAGGATCTGGTTGAGATTGTCTACTCTTAGTAGAAGAAGGATTACATCTTACGGGCCTCCGTCGTCGTCTATAAAAGAGACTACAATTCCACCAATATGGCAAAACTGGAATTCGAATCACCTTCAAATTCTCTTCGCCTGTTCCTTGTTTTTTGCCGGTTTCTTTATTTTATGGGTGCCCGCAGTCACCACATCCCAAGAGTCTTTAGCCGTCTCTTCACTATATGTGAGTTTTCCTTTATATTTTTCGGCCCCGGAGTTACGCATGATGCCTCACCCGACTGGACGCTAATCCTCACGCTAAGCAGCCCTTTAGAGACGATCGCTTCGCCATGGCCCTCTTCTGGCGAGGCAGCAAGGCAGACCGTGGGCTTTTTTGAATATGAAACGCTTTGACCTAATGGGAGAAATGCCGCATACACCGTCGGCCTTACGCGTGACTCCCACAGTCTTCTTGCTTTCACTGTGCGGGACCGCACTCTGTCAAACCGACATAACGTTATGGACACGTTAGGTCTAAATCACCAGCACTCTCGACTCGGTACGCTTTCCTTCATCCAGGCCAATCTAACGTTGCATTTCACAGTCCCCGGTATCGCAGATCTGCCTACAGCTTCCTGTTTCTGGGCGTAGTAGCGCATAATCGTCATTATGGGTCTCCGGGCCGTTTAATCCAGTGGATGTGTCTTTGAAGTCACCAAAAGATGGTATTTGTCAGTGGCGAGAAGAAAGCGCTGCCTCATGACGAGGTTAAGGATGGCCTGCGACTGCATAAACTCGCTCATAATGATGCAGACAACCAGCGAATGAATGAGCTTAGGGCTACAGCGGATCCGCATTGTAGACCGTCGGCGAGCGCGATAGGAAAATACAGCCAGTGGCCTACGATCCATGTTCTGCAATCTGCGTGATACCGCGTCAATGATTATTTGACCTTGATTGGGTGAGCTATTCAAATATTCTGCGCCAGGTTAGAGAGGCCAGCCAATTAAGCTTACGGGCGGCCCCTAAGAAAAACTACACCCCACTCAAATGGCAGGACTAGAATCCAACTTGTTCCTCACTTATCCCCATCTATGCTCACATATCCTACAACGTATTTTTATCAGCAGGAGTCGCTGGCGGCTTCAACTGGGAAACGTATTTGGTAACCTACAATTTCCGATTCTTACAAGTGCGCCGGAACTGCTTCGTGTCTTGGACGAAATGTACTTGCTCGGATGACGCGTTCCGGGTTTTCAGCACCAAGGGATCGGGGCGAATATGCTTTGTACTGGTGCACAACACAGGAAGCAGCGGCTATCTTTAACGGACACGTAGAAAATGCCATCGGTTTTTTATGAAGCTCAGAGACGTAAGAGAAGAGCTAGCTTAGTCCGAAGGGTCAGGCAATGTGTGTATTATTTTGTCATGTCTAAATCTGAAAGCATTTCTAAGTCCCAGTGGGAACCATTTTGGTTTGAAAGAGGGTCTTCCTTTTACCGACCTCATTTTTCGTCGCTTCTCTCTAGTAGGTTCTTCACTTTCTGTACATACTCTGTATCTCCTAACTCAGGATATAAACGAAGTACAGTATCTAAATGTGACTTCGCAGCCTTAATGTTCTTTTCTGTCCGTGGACAGTGTATCTTGATAAAACTCTCATGGACGTCTTTAAAGTGGAAGGCTGACTGGAAAAACAGTCTCTTTCCAGAGTCATTCAGTAACGTTAACACCATAAGTTGCGGGTGCTGTGGAAGCTCTTTCTTCTTAATAGAATCCTTAAGGTAAAGACGGTCTTCTGTGAAGCTTTCGCCGTCTGCCACACCATCATTATTCTATCCAGGAATGTCGGCTATAAACTAAGGGTGGTGAATAATGGCTGGCAGCGGTGCCACAGGCATCCAATCCCAGTCAATGACCCTATGTTTGATTTTATCTGTTAGAACTAGATTATATAGTAGAGAAGCGACTTTTTTCGCCTACGCCGTTAAGTGAAAGTGGTCGCTTTTCATGATATTGTGCGTATTTAGATCCCCATGAGTAAAGCCGATGCCAGTGTATTTATCAAACTCAGCAGCATAATTTAGGATCATCGACCGCATGATCAGATAGTCAATAGCATTGCCCCATCTAGCAGTGCCATTGAGGGTTCGTCGAAGACCTCGTTCCAGGCTTTTCGTGAGCCAGACTGAGTATGGATAATTTTTCTCTGCAATAAGGGCGGAAGGAAGAGGAGTAGTCCATAGTTATAACAGAAATTCTGCGAGGTCATCCAAAAGCCTTTGGCGTTTAACTAGAGGCATTTGAAAATTCCAGATCGCTAGCGGCTCGCCACTGACCCATTCTGAGTACAGCACAGGGTGTTTGATTGAGTTCCCGGGTTTGGGCGGGCGTTGATGGCAAAGATGATGGGCACGATCAAGCTTCCTAGCAGAAAAAGAAAAGTAAGAATGATTCTTCAGATCAAAAAAATGACTTTTTTCACCATCAATCGAAACTTGTTGGAACACCCCTCAGGTTAAAGCAGCCGTACTGTACGCCTCATTTTCAATGCCCCTGCAAAAATGCCTCAAATTTCTGCTCTCACGATAAGCTGATCTATGTAAAAGATACAAGACATCATTTGGATCAAAAGTTACTGTATTACTGTATTGTTCTAAAAGAGATAATGAGTAAGAAACGAAAGCGAAACTAGACCTTAAGACCACCTGATAGGTTTTAAGACCTCTTGCTAGTTTTATTTTTAGAATTGGGTAAGTATAGAAACATGAGTTAGTATAACGAAACCAGGATTTCAAACCTGGCCGCTACTGGGTTGCCTAAAGCTTGACAAATTGTCCTTTACATTATTACCCTCAAATAACATCATCTTGCTCAAGCAGCCTGAATCAGGCTGCCTGATCTGGACTAGTGGCACTCTGAATGCTTTTCAGAGTCACGCCAGCTCTAGGCTAAACTAATTTCCGAATAGCCCATGGCCAATACCTCCTGTTTTATCAGGATGCGCCCTAAAGCTGTAGTCCGAGTAACCTTCCATATACGAGGTTAGAGGAAGTCTCTCTGCTTTAGCCCTGCCCACTTTTCAGTAGTCTACGGAAGTCATCCTGTAGTGGTTCTTGGATCATCTTGCCCCTGTAGAGTTCCCCGCTCGACCCATGTGTATTCGGAACCGTAACCACAGTTCCCAGAGAACTGTAGGGCCCCGTGAACGGACGGGTGTGCTCCAGAATCCAAGGTAGAGAGCCCAGGAACGATCCGTCTCGCTCCCAGGAGTGACAGGTATAGTTCCTGGAGGACATTAAGCTCCCAGAGGCCGTAAGCATGATCCTAGGGAGCGATGATTAAATATAGCTCCCTAACTCAGTATATCGTAGGCTAATCAGAAAAACAGCTAGCTGAGTTTAGACCAGAACAAAACAGGCAAACGCATTTAAGTGCGGCGGCGTTGAATAATTAAGAAGCCGCTCATTTTCGATGGCGTTAGGGGCCGATTCAACGTGTTTGAGCTCTCGCCATAGTAGAGCGAGGAAACGGATGCCCTTGAAGAAATGTTATTGTGGAAATCGGATGGATTGGTTGATCCTGGACGTGTGTTGACCATTGCACACGACGAACTCGATAAACGTTGAGTAAATAGGAAGTCAACATTTCTTGACGGTAGTGATAGTGATAGATCTCACGGTCCTGGCCTCTTATACGCATGTCAAACGTGAAGGAAGTTACTGGGTGAGTGTTTTACTTGTTCGAGGAAATCATATTGTTTTAATAAATCAAATTGATCACCACCTTAGCAGAAAAGGAAGGCTGGTGTTTATTAGATGTTATTGGCTTATCTTTCTCCACTTGCTTTGATGTCCGTGCATAGTCTAATACCCTGCCACACCCCCCCTTACCACGTCTACCAGCGATAATTTTTCACCCCCTCTAACTCGTATGAAGCCTGAGGCTGCAGCCTCAATTTAAAACGGGTACCTTTATAGACTGCAGGGGTTCACGCACGCATTACGTGCTTCTTGCCAGATCAAGCAAAGAACTGCTTATAGAGTTACGAAGTTGATAAACAATAAAACGAAACGTTAGAGTTGGCCAAGTTTGTATCTTTAACGATGCTTTTTATGGACTAGCCGATACTGGTGGAAACGTGATGGTCAAATGGTAAGAGTAAACTTGAGGTTAGTGTTGAGAGTGGTCTACAACATGTAGGCCAGAAAGTGGGGAGGGAGAGAGTTGATTACTATGGAAGCAAGATCTGCCGACTATCTACTCTGGTGAGGGGTTGATGCCTGAGGCACCAATGTGCAGCCTAAGGCTGCCACAACAGTTAGTGATTAAACAATTAGTTGGCTCGGAAATCCGAGTATAGAAGAATGATCAAATCTTTACCTCCTGAATTTGAGACATGTCAATTGTGAAATTAATAATCACAAATAGAATTTATTTTTCTAAAATAAAAACGAACGTTGCTCTAACCACACATGCAGTTAACCGATTCATCCAATGTTTACACATCGGTTCGCTGTCAAGATTGAATTTTAGTATGACTAGGCCTCAGCTTGATGCGTTACTATGATATTGTTGACCGGCTCCTCGACCTTTGGAGAAGCTGACCGTTTTTTGGTGCGGCAGGCATCAATATGGCCGTGTCGATAAACTCACCAGGGACAGTTTCAGGTCTTCGTGGGCCATGAACTCTGAAGACCACGGTTCTGGAATGCGACACTGGTTTTCAACGCTCTAATACTGTACCCATTGGAAGCTTTTAAGAATACCTGAGAGCTACTTAATCTATTTAGTGCCCTGATTTTCTTCGGCCAGAGTGATACATGTGCCTATATATACAACAATGAGCTAAGTTGATTGGAAATCAACTTGGTCGTTTGTGTTGTAGTTCAGAGGTATGAATTAACTTATTATTTCAGAGGGATACATGAGCCTATGTATACAACAATGAGCCAAGTTGATTGGAAATCAACTTGGTCGTCTGTATAGACACTTCGGAGCTAATTTGGACGGTGCGGGTTGGTTCCTGCTCTGCACCAGCCTCATATCACAACACGAACGAGTATCACATGACTGCATAATAAATAAAACTTGGCGATTTCACTTCAAGATGGTGACCAGGTTTCTCACCTGTTTCTGGAAAATGTATACGGAGGCTGATTGTGTAGTCCTGTCCATGCACAAATTCCTATTGTTTGGGCTGTTCATACTTAGACCCTTTTCAAGTAATATTATAGTCTACGAATGCCTTTTTGCTAACCATTCTCCGGACAGAGACCACTGTTTCAAGGTTAAGTAAACTGACAAGCTTCAATGAATACCTAGTAGCCGATTTCGAATAAGCGCAATATGTATGAACTATATTATGAGGAAGCCGCCCAAATCCTCCACCTTCTAATCAGCAAAATACCAAGTTCCATGGTGTCTGAGTTAGTCTTCGCCATGAGTTCCTTTTTCAAATTATCTGGAATACACTTTACCACCAAAGGAAGGGCACTAATAATTCCAGTATACCTCGGATGCTTTTCTGAGAGCCCTTGCAAAATCGCCTCTTAAGTTCCATAATTTAGCAGATCCATCTGCTCTTTGAGATGATGCTGTAGCAGTTGAAACTTCCTTTTTATTCGATTTTTCGCATTGCCCCGAGAGCTATGATTGAGTAAGGGCTTTCGAAGTGTCTTCGTTATCGCGTTGCGACTAACTGGACTCATGAGGTGGTGAGGAGTCACCGAATTGGTTCCTCTCATAGCTGGATTTACATTTTCCAGGACGCGATGCTCCTGCTGTAACTTTCCATCATCTGAATTCCCCGGTTTCCTTTGGCTTAACTGGAGAAAGTAAAGGACTTCCTCGCTGAATTACGAAATTGATAAGTGCTGCAGCTGTGTCTCACCCAGGTGACTCGTGGAACGGTATATGGTGCCCTCTTGTTTCAGTGATGGGTGTAGCAGTAAATCATGGTCGTCACAGCTAACCAAAGGTGACATTAGGTCACTCATCTTGAGAGACGCAAGGGGGCTGCTACAGTCATGAAGGCTTTGGGTTAACTTAGAGTTTGCCGAAGAAGCACTCGAAGGTGGCAGACTTCTGGTAATGGGTTCCATCGGAGATCATAATAAATTATAATCACCAAGTCTCGAGATAGCCCCATAGGCAGAGCCAGAATGTGTGATTACCTGTGATTCTGTGGTTCCGCTTGCAGGGATTTATACTTAAAGCTAATGTGCTCGTTATATCTACTTACCAAGGAGCTTGATGTCTCATAAGAAAATGACCATCAAGAATCCAGCATATTTCGAGCGGGTTTAGTGGGCAATGAGTTTATTGGGGACAATGAAGATTCTAGTAGCCGAATACAGGCACAGACGCGAACCTCTATGTTGGGGCATTTCCTTATATTATATTTTTTTATATATATCTACAGCTTGTAATAAGGGATACGTGAAGCCCGTTTATTTTTAACTATTTTATTTAATTTATGGTGGTTGATAGAAGTTTTCTAACTAGACCGGAAGGTTTGGTTTAAAATTCCCAATCGGGTTAGCGTTTGGTCGAAAATTCCTAATCGGGAAGTTTTGGTCTAAAATGCAGGAGAAGACGTCTGCATTTCGGACCATTCCCTTCTCCTACATTTTCGACCACCACCCATAAATTGATTTTTAACCACGACTAACTTCGATTTTACTGTTAAATAAATTAGTAAATATTAGTAAACATCCATTTATGACTCTAATTTCTGACCGCGGTCAGAAACTCTAGCCGAAGGTCTGCTGGTACGTATAGTAGTATAGTATGGTCGAAAATGCAGAAGAAGGCTGTCACGATATCTTCAATCATGAGGTTATACGTATATTAGTGCCTCAGGCCTATTGGTACTGCCTTAGGCCTATGGGCCAGGTAGAATCCCGGCGCCACGGCGGTGAAACCCCGGGCTTTCGATATCCATTCGGGAAAGGAACCCTGCCGGCGTTGAAACCGGTTTTGTCTTGCAACCCTCTACCCCGCTCAATATATCACATTCTCTTGCCGTCTTATCCGAAGGAAAAGATGTATATAACCTAGAAGAGATAGAAGGAGCCTGAGGGTTCTGTAAGAAACAGTCTTTGCCTTGGAACCCGCATATTGATACCCTTTTCCTACCTGATTGACAGGCATCTACCCTGACTAGTGGATTATCCGTAACAAAGGGGTAGATTTTTAGCTAGTAAATTATAAATCTAGAAAGTGTGACTATAGATCTAAGATATATATAACGTATTTCACATGCGAGTGGTCCACGCAAAAACACATAGTAAAAGCGATATAGTTGTCACTTATATTTCAACAACTAACGTTTTTATCTAGCTTCATAACTTGCCGATAATGATTGATAAGCATTTTTAATATAATATATCAATCTTAAACGAATTGAATACTTCCATTGTTGTGGTATTAAAAATTACGCCGCTGGATTCTACAAATATATATATCTCAATTACCAGCCTATTAAATTCCCTCAAAATATATAAAGTAACTAGATATCATATAAGCAGCATTAGGCTGTAAGAGCCAGTTTATATACAAAACCGTTGTTGCACTAACATGTTGTAATTTATCGCTTTTACTATGTGTTTTGGCGTGGACCACTGGCTTGTGTGGACCACTCGCATGTGAAATACGTTATATATATCAGAGTTTATATACTATATAATTTTATAAATCGACTAATATCTCCCTTTCTAGAACTACTACGTAAAGTCTAAATAGTGCATTTAATACCCCTTTTCTTGCTGTATATAATACCATATTTTAATATTTTTATATATTTATTTAATACGATATCACCTTAGGAATAACCATAAGAAAGATATATTTTCGTAGTGGCCGCTATCTAATTCACGTGACCCGTAAATACGGATACGGTCCCATATTTTTACTACTAGGCGGCTGAGATAAGACGGATACCGATTATACGGGATCACGTATCGTAATCTACGGTCGCACCCCACAAAAAAAAAGGGTCGATTTTTAACTTAATATTTAACCACCTTCCCGGATAGCTATCGGTCTGAAACTTTAGTAGAACCTAGATATACAGCTAGAATAGAACTCTATACATTTTCAGACTAATTTAAGCAGCATCACGGAAGATAGACCAGGTCGAAGATTTCACGTTCTACCTGGTTCCTCCACATCAATTATTAGCCAATCAGAGCTCTTAAAAAAATCTTCTACCTACCAGGTCGAAGGTTCGGAATAGAGTTAGTACTGTAACCGACCGGGGTATATGGCTCTATTTAACATATTCCTTTAGTGTCCATTCTTGCGTGACCTGAAGATCATGAAACAATAAGTCTTAATGAGCTTGTCGAATTAATTTTAATTTATGTTCCTCTTCGGAGCTATGAGTCTTAACTATTACCACTAAATGTACAGCCTTTCTGTTTGCTCCTATCTGCGATAATCCTTAAGTGATTGTATTGTGATCACTTCCGATATGCTGCACATGATTATCATAATCGGATATGGATGCCCCGGATAAGAAACGTCCAATAGACTGTCAGGGATGGAATTAACGGTATCCTATATGAACAAATTTTTCAGTACAGGAAGAAAGACATCTTGATCTGGAACCGATAAATAGCAACTAGTTTGATTGAATGATAGCCACCGGTGGGCCTCTACCACACGTCATGTCTACCAAAGTATCAGCAAGCAAAGGCATGATTTATGTAAGAGGTCAAGGCACCCATGGGTCATTTAAGTAATCCATTAGGATTAGTTCGGATGTTATTGTGGCGGTTGGTCCAGCTGGTTTGGCCCTAGCTTTTAAGCTAATGCCTTCCGGAAACAGTTGTGAGTAGCGAATATTGGAGGTTTTACTCCTAGAGAACAGAGTTAAGGCGGAACACATGATGCTCATTGGCAATCGCCATAGATATCGTAGCTAGGTGATTATTTGGCGAACAAAGGCTAGATGAATTATTTGATCATCATTCTTTGAGCACGTCATAATTCACTGCAGCTAATCCTTTTTCACTTCCCTTTTCCAAGGTAGCTGAAGCCTAGAGATGTTCTAGATTTTTGGAGACTCATTCGTATGCGTATTGTGTGAACTGGAAGGATTCTTCGTTCAAGTGCAAAAAATATAAATATTGGCTCAATCATCATGCATCTCCTTGCACGAACAAGGAATTCAAATAAGTATTTTTTTTATGATCACCATCCTGGCAAAATGAATGCCACCGAGAACCTTCACATCGAACCATGGGGATCGGACACCTATCTCGTGGGCAGGTGTTGGGACAATTCTCGAGGCTGGAATGAAAGTTGGTTGAACTTAGATAGCTGCCTCGGGGATAGTGGAGGTATGTGGCTGATCTTAATTACTTCATTCTCACTGACATTCTTATACTAGGGCGCTTCCAATGGGGTGGAAGCGAGTTCACTGATCGTGCCAGAAATATCAGTTTTAATCCCACAGAAGGTGGAAGTCGAGTGCCCGTCCTGCGAGCTGAACTAAGAGACGACTCACCAGGGGGCAACTTTTTAGAAGGGAATGTGAATTTGGCCGAAAAAATCAATAACCGTGATGGTAATCTGCAGTTTTCTAGGTAGGTTTTCTTGTGCGTTTTTGAGCGAGGTATGCTAAACCTAACAATTTACAGATTTTGAGCCTACTGAGTCTTTTTCTCAAAGGAGTTAATGAATCTGAATGTTTGAAGTTTCATCTTTTTTCCCCACCCTTCAGTCTTAAACCTCCGTCTCTTCGAGGTGTATCAAGGGTGGACTAAATGGAGAGTATCTTTAATAATGATTCAATTGCCTAATTCTGTTATTGTTGGTTTGATTGGAACATCAAAAAGTTTGACAGGTATTAGCTTGCTTGAACCAAATGGGAATGAAAAACTGGAAGAGAACTGGTTAAAATTTTTATACTTGATCTGATGTCGCCAGACTGGTCTCAACACATCACCACCCATATTATACATGGTTTTGTTTATAATTGAATAACAACTTATTCACTCTTTGCTTTGAACAATGACATTTAATAAACTGTACGATGTAATAGATGAAGATTGGTAGTTTCAAACGGTCTCTTCAAAGGTCTTGCAGAGTAAGGAAGGAGTGAGGAAAGGAAGAAGTGAGGAAAGGAAGAAGTGAGGAAAGGAAGAAGTGAGGAAAGGAAGGAGTGAGGAAAGGAAAGGTGGGTGGGAGAATTTTGCTGGACCTTCCGGGTCAGGGAGATGACCCCTACCAGCGCAACTTATATGTAGCCATGGCTTTGTACGGGCTGCCTGATGCATCAATGAAACTACTGAAACAATGTTGCAGCTTCTCACTTGATTAGGCTAGAAATGCTTGGCGCATCTCTTCACATTGCTCACAATTAGGGCTCGGCAGCCACCGCGGTCTGAACGCTGCGGTGCGGGTAAGTAACCGCAAAAACGCGCCTGAGGCTAGGGGCCGCTGACATTTCAGGTTTTTGTCTCCTTCATGATGAATGTAGGAAATTCGGGTAAAAGATGCCTATGAGCTCTGCCATATGAACCGACCAGCAGTTTATCGGTCCCGCTTGGACCTGTTCTGACCCCAGACCGCCTGATTTTATCGAGTGCGACCACGGCCGCGCCCAGGTGACCCTCACGACCTGAATCGGCCGAATACACAATTGCCTCGAACGTGGACGTCGCTGTCCCTGCACGCTCCCTCGCTATTCCTCGATCTGGCTCAATCTCAATCCCGGCAAAGGCATCGCCACGTCACGGTGGCAGCGGCCGCGGGCCAATGGTTTCCAGTTCATCCAGTCTGACTATTTCCATGGTCATCAAAGCTTCTACCAGTAGGAAGCGTGCATATGATCCAACATTGTTCGTACGCTTCTGGGCCCGCAGAAGTGTCGTCCAAATCGGGTGGTGTCGAGGTAGTGTACGAAGTCTGGTGATGCTGCGCTGTGCTCAATGGCGGAGACGAAGGTGTGTAGGTAGTATGTGGGCTTCCACTTCCAGCGTCGCGGTAGCTAACATCCTGAATGCCGACAAAATGCGGATTAGGGCTGCCCTCTGCACTGTGGTCAAGTGCCCTAGGTGTGCCATTCCCACTTACCGAAAGTGGAAGACTAAGGGGTTCTTTGGCAGGGAGTGACAAAAGTACTCAAGAAATGAATGGATAAGAGGATGCAGCTGAACCTCCTCTGCCTGCTCCAAGGAACATCATCCAGGTGACCTGTTACCTACCCAGCACGAGTTTCCAAGCATCGCGAGAAGGATAATGACTTTGAAAATTATAGATGGATTTCGCAATCAAATTCCAATAATTTTCAATACCAACTTACTTTATTTAGACGAATATATAGTGCAATTTTCTCAAACGCAAATGTAATCGAGCCACCGAATGGTGAATCGGCATGTATAGATATAATGGGAAAAGAGCCCCTGAAGGGGCCGGTTGTGCATTTTCTCAGACCAATATAAGCGGGAAGAGAATGATTATGCTACAAGACTTAACTAGAAATATTAGAGAGACATCTGGTTTAGCTGGCATGGGGTCGGGATGGTTTCCGATCCCCCCGGCGGAAGCAATCAATAACAGCGCGTAGAGGTCGTCCAGGATAGACTGAATTTCACGCTGGGATTGGCCTATGATGACTATCGGGGCTGCACCCACACTTATTTCCTACAGGACTTACTCGATTCAAACCCAAAGGTGATATCTATGGAATCGGAATCATTGGGATAGACTACCATCGTAGGAAGAACTTGCCCCAATCCTCGGCTTGCCTATTTTGTTTAGCTGACCTCGTCTTAGAAAGAGACTTGCTTTCTCTTGCGTCGCTCAGATAGTGATGGCTGCTGAGCGATAACCGTTTATTTAAGATCCTCCACCTCGCTCTTCGGGAATCCGATATCCCTAGCCAATCGTTTCTTAATTAGTCGTTTAGTAACCTTGCTTTCCGACTTTCTGCATCGTTCTATCTGCTCCTCTCTCTTAGATAAACTTTTGAAAGGCCCTGGCTTCGCTTACCCTGTAGGTCTAGACATGGTTGATTAGAAGTGGACAAAGGAAATAACTAGTTACATAACTGGTGTTCAAGTTAGTTACTGACCGCTTTTTCGCAAGATTTATAGGCTGGTATAGTCTGCATAGTGACGAATCGACCAGTTCCATTTCTCGATCGGGTTTATGTAGAGGCTTACTACCATGACGGCTTCTAAATTAATCATCCTTACTAGGCAGTGTGCTTTCACACTCCGTTTGAGTTGACCCCGAGGATTCAGACTAACATTCAATCGCATCTTCATGGTGAGCGCTTTTTTCTGCTCTAGCTTTATCTTTAAGAGCTTTGGCAAGCATGGCAGTATATTTGCCTAGCCAAAGAGTAGGGCTTTGGTCACGCGGTTTGGAATTCCAGGCCCTACACCTAAAAACTGTATACCTTAACGTATTCGGCAAGCGAGCGGCGCACGCAAGCGAGTGGCGCACCCAACCCAAAACGCGTCCATGAATTAGCACTTAGTCAATTCAACCACCCACCATGCCACCAATTCGCTCCCGATCCTCTAGCAATTCAGCAGAGCAAGAGGGTAGGGTCTTATTAGCTATCCAGGCTTTTAAGGATAAAGAAATCTCTTCAGTTCGTGAAGTGGCGCGCCGTTTTAACGTACCCGAAACTACCCTTCGCCGCCGCCTCAGTGGTACACAAAACCGCGCGAATTCTCGCGCAAATTCGTCTAAATTAACACAAATTGAAGAGGAGTCTCTTCAAAAATGGATTCTCTCTATGGATTCTCGTGGAGCAGCCCCCCGGCCCTCTATGGTACGAGAAATGGCGGATCTTCTTCTTCAAAAGCGTGGAACTACCCCGATTCTTTCGGTCGGCGAAAAATGGGTATATAACTTTGTGAAACGGCGTCCTCTCCTCTCCTCTCGATTCTTAAAGCGGTATACCTATGAGCGCGCGAAATGTGAAGACCCTAGAATCATCAATGAGTGGTTTGATCTAGTTCAAAAGATAATCATTCAATTCGGAATCGACCCCGATGACGTTTATAACTTCGACGAGACCGGTTTCGCGATGGGGTTAATCGCTACAGCGAAGGTGATTTCGAGGAGTGATCTCTCTGGCCGGCGCTCCCTTTTACAGCCTGGAAATCGTGAATGGGTGACTATTATCGAATGTATAAATGCATCGGGGTGGGCGCTCCCTCCGTGTGTGATTTTTAAAGGCAAAATCTTCCTCGAATCTTGGTTTAAGGGCCTTCCGGATAACTGGCGATTTGAAGTTAGTCCGAACGGCTGGACCTCTGATGAAATTGGAGTTCGCTGGCTCGAAAAGCTCTTTATTCCGACGACTTCTTCGCGTACGAAGGGGGGTATCGACTTTTGATACTTGACGGACACGGAAGCCATTTAACCCCAAAATTCGACGAGATTTGTGAGCAAAATAAGGTGATACCGATCTGTATGCCACCTCACTCCTCTCACCTTTTACAGCCTCTCGATATTGGCTGTTTTGCGGTGTTAAAACGATCATATGGTCGGCTGGTCGAGACGAAAATGCGGACCGGAATTAACCATATCGATAAACTTGATTTCCTCGAAGCATACCCCCTCGCACGAACTGAGGCCTTTAAATCGGAGACTATTAAAAATAGCTTCGGAGCAGCTGGTTTAGTGCCTTTTTCACCTGATAGAGTGCTTTCGAAGCTTAATATTCAGCTTCGAACCCCGACCCCCCTCCGAGTAGAGGAAGCGATTGGGACCCAAAAACGCCCTCGAACTACGTGCAATTACAAAAGCAAGCTTCGTCAATTAAAGCTTTACTTCGTGCTAGATCGAGGAGCCCTCCGAGCCCGCTAAATTGCGCGATAAATCAGGTTTTAAAGGCATGCCAGATCACTATGCAATCCGCCGCACTTCTTGAGAAAGAAGTAAGCGAATTACGCGCCGCCAACGAGAAGCAGAAGCAAAAGCGCACTCGATCCCGAAGGCAGATACCTGCCGAAGAAGGCCTCTCAGTTCAAGAAGCTTCTCAATTGATTACTGAGCTGGTGGAAGTAGTTAAAGCACCTCCCTCCCCTCCACGAAGAAGCCTATCGCCGGCTTTACAACCACGTTCGCGGGCCTCCCCAAAGTGTAGTGGTTGTGGAGAAATAGGGCATAAAATCAATAGATGCCTAGCTAGATAAATCAATTTGGTTGAATTAATTTAATGATGTTTTGGTTGAGATAAATATAGTTGAATCCAATGGTTTGGGTTAGGTGCGCCACTCGCTTGCGTGCGCCGCTCGCTTGCCGAATACGTTAACAATTAAGACGACGAAGGATGACGTAAACAGGGCAGAAATCGAGGCTATTGCGAATGCAATGCGTCCGCCACCACAGACACCGCTGCATGGACAGTCAGTGCTGGAATTCTGAGCCTTTTATTTTTTTATCGTTACATGTTTATGCTACCGAGGACGGTAGCAGCCTCTTGAAGGGGGCGCCTGTGATGGCCTTAGGCCTCACCCTCATTACTAAACATGTGGTTACATCGTACGTAGCTCTAGCATATGAATAGGATCATCTTTACCACTACCTGGCTTATTCCGTAACATAGAGGAAAGGAAGACGGCGAGTAACCTGCTTTGCGTGCAACGGTTAATAAGGCACAATATGACGACTGAATTAAA